AAAAACCACCCCCCCCCCCCCATGTTATGAAGTTCCTGTGTACTCTGTAGTTTTATTTCAACCCTCCATGTCATGAAGATGAGGAGAGGGTGCTCTGTAGTCCTGTCACACTTCCTGTCCTAGGATAATAATGCTGTCACTCCACAAATAAAGTAGCCTGAGAAAAAGAAAACTAAATGCAACCACCCTTGAAAGCCCAACTCTGACATTTTTTTTTTTTGCTTTAGAATAGAATGAGCAAGATTGAGTGCCTATGTTATGCTTTTATTCCTGTCTCTGAACTCACTGGGCACAATTTTGGTCAGTTGCCATCCCTACAAATCTAGGACAGAAAAAGGAGGAGAGCACTTGTCACTAGGCCAGTAAGGCATAGGTCTCAATAAAATTTTGAAAGTTCTAACCCTCCTCCAATCCTGTAGAAATTTGTTTATGTCCCTGTTGAGGTGATTTCCTTTTATTAGCAGTCCTTGTTGGTTCCATGCTCCAGCACTGTCCCCTGCTTCATCCTCAATCTAGGGCCACCGGTCTCGTCTGGGCTGAATAATGGCCAAAGTCATTAAACCCAACTCCTGCAAGCCCAGGCTGTCAATGACACATCCCCTGGGGGTGCAGCTTCCTACATAATGGGCCAACGGTACTCCTGGACTAAGTGGCCCTCACTTAACATGAGCGATGCTCATTTCAGGGGAAAACTGTCCATTGCTTCCCCCAAGAAAGTAGGGGAAGAATAGGTAATATCACCGAACTGATCTGAAGTCTGCAGGGTAAAAAAGATAAAGTAAAGGGTTTGTTTTGTCTTTTAAACAAAGGATCAGAGCTGGGCTTCAGGAATGATTGGAGAGAAAGTACCACAATTTGCCTTCAGTCCATTTTGTAAGGCTGTAATATGAACTAAGATTTTGTACTATTCTTAAAGAACCTCATCTTACAGTTCTTTGAGGGATGAAGGAGGTAGAATTTTGCTTTACACTATGCTATCCAGAACTTCCTATACAGACATAAGGAGGAGGTTTGCACATGGTGAATGAGAAAAATCAAGGATCTTGGTGTTCATCAACGCACTGCTTGTTTAGCAATGTGTATTGGGATATTATCCTCCTGAAACATGGGAACATTCTGAAGGGGCCTATGGCTTTCTATAATACAAACCCATCTAGGTAAAGGGAACTGGGTGGGAGAGGATTCATGGCCACATCACATAACATGTTTGCCTTACAGCAGGTTATGTGTGTTCAACAACACTGAATGCAAGTGGTCCCCATAAAATATGATTTTATTCATAAATCATTGTTATAGCTTTCACTTATCGGCAAAGAAAAGGGGACGATTTAAATAAGTCTGCATATGTTGTATGTAAAAAAAAAAAAAAATAGCTTTACATGAATGGGTAATTTTTAGATGGCTGACCATATACTTTGCTATCTAAAAGTGATTCTGTATGAACATTTTCCCTTGAAGACAGTTCACTAGACTGTAAATGAAGATTATCAGCTCCCTTTACCACTTATACGTGTCACTGCATAATTAAATCTATGCCTCACACCAGCTTGCTGCAGCCTGCAGGAAGTCTTAAAATGAGACAAGCCTCTTCTCTACTACAATGATCTCTTTTGCTGGATAGTCCTGCTCTTCACACTATTGTTTCTGTAATAACAGAGAGGTTTTAAGATGGTAAATCAGTTGTTACTCTGAGGATACCTGTTCTGGTAAAGTGAAAAGATTACTCCCTGGGAAGCCTCAGCCTATTAGCTTCCAACAGAGATGAGCGTATTAGATGTTTCTCCCTCTTATACAAATAACGGCTTGAACAAAAAAGCAACATAAAAGTCCCTAAAGCTACACAGAATAAATAATATACTGTGACATAGGCACAAGCTTAGTAATATAAATACCTCCAAAATCAATTTGATACCTTAAAGTGGCTCTAGCACTATGTGGTCCAACACATGCATCTTTTTTTTTTTTTTTTACAGTCTGGGTTTAGTTCACTTTGGACCACTCCACATAGTACCGAGGTTGCTTTAAACTACTGATCATAAGAGCACAGTTGTCCAATCCAGCCACTTTTGGCCAGAGAATAATCTCATGTATATAGACATGATCATAACTGGTAGAAACAAACGATAAGGCATCTTATAAAACCTGCTCAATTACTATTGTTTATCCTTGCGATAAGTGGCAGACCGCAACGAATGAGGTCATTGATATATCTCCATCGCACGTCATACCAGTATACTCTCTTTAAACTGGGTGCTGGTGCCACAGCACTGCCTAAGGAGAATATGTCATCAGCACACCTCTTGCTGGGTTCCTTAAATGACACATCTATATTCTTAATTTGTCTGATGAAAATGTTACAATTCTGATATGCCAATAAAGACTAACTTCTAAAGCAGTGAATGAGAATAGCAGTATGCATTTGTTCTTTTAGTCTCTTTTAGTCTGTTAATGTTAAGTGACTCATCAGACAGTATCTGATCATTCACATTTTTCACCACGCAAATAAATTAAACACCCAACGGGCATCCATATGCAGTAGGCGACGAAGCGGGAGTCAAGACGACAAGTGAAACATAGATTTTGAAGTCCCTTTTGTAGAGAGTGATAAAACTTTAGCACATGTCAAACCTCCCTGCAGCCCACAGAAGATCTACCCACTGTACATTCAGCAAAACCTAGCAACACTTACCTGCAATTGACTTGCTAGGGGCAAAATTTGTGTTAGTGGGTGAGGGTTAGAACATGGCCATCTGTGATTTGATCTTGCCTCATTAGGGATTTTCCCGGACGAAACCAGTGGCTAGAGGTCAGTGCTGCTGCAGTTGCATGTTTGTCATAATAAGTGGAATGTCGGAGAATGAGGAGGCATGGATAGAGAACCGGAGTCTGAGCAAGGTGGGAGACATGGGGGAAGAAGCACAGGCTGGTATTAAGGAGACCTTGGAGTTAACAGCCATCCTGTTCCATGCCAGCCTGCACCATGTCATGCCTGACACTGAGCTGCCCTGTATATGGCTCAGACCTCTCATTCATAAAACAATGAATTTATAGCTACCATTGTGTGTACCCTTTAGCTCAAACATTTCAGACATCAATTTCAGACATTCAAGTCTATTTTGTTGTAACTGTAAAAACATTAATAACCCATTTAAAGTGAACCTGCCTACTAAATTATGCCCGCCCAACACCTGTCAGTTTCAACTGCAGCAGGAGCATCACAAAGGCAGACATCATCCTCTACAAGACTAGACTCTCCCGGAGCATGCATCCTCAAGGGTGACGTAGTGTAGGAAGGAGGTGCTGCGCTGCCACAAATGATGGTTGCATGATTTTTTTTATCTGTTGTTGTGCGTTGGGCAGCCTATTCAAATTATGGGCTCTCCTAACATTATGCATGGTATTATTTATCCTGGTGTCACCAAAAGTCTTCAGTCACAGGAAGCAATGCAAACCTGAAAGAAATTCTAACTTTAGCACATGTATTTAAAACACACACACCTGTAGTTTTAGAGTAACCTGCCTGTAACATTAAACGTCAGCTCCCACACCAGTATTCCAATATTTGACTGGTGCGGTCTCCCAAACAAATTCCAATGCTGCTAGTTTTCCAGGTTGAATGACAGTCAGCATTATGTAATCCAACTGCTTGCAGCAGAATGCTACAGAGGCGCGTTGCCCGGTCTCTGGGGCATTTAGGACCTGCCAACCACTGGAGAAGAGGGGGAAGCGCACCATTAAATGGCATATGACCAAACTTAAGACTGTTGGAAAATGTGTTTATTTTTTAATGATAAAGAATGATGGCGCTTCAAGTGCCTGGTGGCCAAGGGTAGGGGGTGAAGGTGCCAAAGCATGCAGCTGTGTCTGGGATGCCGAACAGCGGCTTCAGGCTTGGGGAGGAATATAAGCCTCTTCACAGCTCACCAATCTGTCTCAGCTGCATCTACTGCTTGAAATGTATCAAGCTCTTTCTGCCAAGCT